AGCATCCCAGGTGTGGAGCACAGAAGAGAAGGTGCCATCTAGCAGCCGGGATACATTTGGCTGTGCTATGGACTGGCTGTAGAGGTTGGGTCCATCAAGGGTTCCATGTTCCGTTCCATCCCGTTGGGGCACCTGGCATTGGGCACTGTCGGCAGACAGGACGCTGGGCTAGAGGGACCTTTGGTCTGAGCCAGTGTGGCCGTGCTGATGTTCTCATGGTGACCCAGAATGGCCATTCTCATGTCTATACTTCTAATAGAATCCTGGGGCAGGAAGAGACCTCAAGAGTCATCGAGTCCAACACTGGTGCTTAAAGGCCATTTGCTTTGCCCCTATTTGCGCCCTGGTTAAAGGCGTAACTTCCTCTTGGCTCGGATGTGGACAGGGCTTTGCAGCTCCCTTTCTAGCCTTTATTCCAAATATAACTTAGATAGGGCCACGATAAGGTGGGTGCATAATTGGCTGGATAACCGTAGTCAGAGAGTTGTTGTTAACGGTGCTAAATCCTGCTGGAAAGGGATAACAAGTGGAGTTCCTCAAGGGTCTGTTTTGGGACCCGTACTGTTCAATATCTTCATCAATGATGTAGATATTGGGATAGAGAGTACGCTTATTAAGTTTGCAGATGATACCAAACTGGGTGGGGATGCTACTTCTTTGGAGGATAGGGACATAATTCAAAATGACCTTAGCAAGTTAGAGAAATGGTCAGAGGTAAACAGGATGAAGTTTAATAAAGAGAAATGCAAAGTGCTCCACTTAGGAAGGAACAATCAGTTCCATACATACAAAATGGGAAGCGACTGTCTAGGAAGGAGCATGGCGGAAAGGGATCTAGGGGTCATAGTGGACCACAAGTTGAATATGAGTCAACAGTGTGATGCTGTTGCAAAAAAAGCAAATATGATTCTAGGTTGTATCAACAGGTGTGTTGTAAGCAAAACTCGTGAAGTCATTTTGCCGCTCTACTCTGCACTAGTTAGGCCTCAGCTGGAGTACTGTGTCCAGTTCTGGGCACCACAATTCAAGAAAGATGTGGAGAAATTGGAAAGGGTACAGAGAAGAGCGACAAGAATGATTAAAGGTCTAGAGAACATGACCTATGAAGCCAGGCTTCATGAACTGGGCTTGTTTAGTTTGGAAAAAAGAAGATTAAGGGGGGACATGATAGCGGGTTTCAAATATCTAAAAGGGTGTCACAAGGAGGAAGGAGAAAATTTGTTCCTCTTGGTTTCTGAGGACAGGACAAGGAGTAATGGGCTTAAAGTGCAGCAGGGGAGGTTTAGATTGGACATTAGGAAAAAATTCCTAACTGTCAGGGAGGTCAAATATTGGAATAAATTGCCAAGGGAGGTGGTGGAATCTCCCTCTCTGGAGATATTTGAGAACAGGTTAGATAGACATCTGTTAGGGATGGTGTAGATGGAGCTTGGTCCTGCCTTGAGGGCGGGGGGCTGGACTCGATGACCTCTCGAGGTCCCTTCCAGTCCTATGATTCTATGATTCCCACCTTGGTATTAAGCGGTGGGTGGGTGACGGTCCCCTCCTCCATGGCAGACCCTCGGGAGCGTGTTCAACGCTGGTCCTGAGACACCTGGAGCTGAACTCCTCCACTCCCAGCTCCATTGTCCCCGTAGCTCCCGACGGCCGTTTGGCACACCCCGTGCATGCCACACCCAACTTCCGGATTGCTCCGGTCCATCCCATCAAGTCTCCACTGCCTTGCTCTAGCAAATCTGCTGGCACCCGATACATTCCCAAACAAACCTAGGAACCAATGTCTTCCTCCCTTATTTCACACTGAACCATGAGTCTGGGGGTTCCTGGTGCTTTCCCCTCTACACAGGGAACTGTTAGCCCCCAACCTGAACGGAGGTTCACAGTCAGGAGGAAGCAGGGTTTGACGGTGCATGTGCTTATCCCCGTGCAGGTGTTCCTCAAGTGGCACACGAGTAAACTTTACAATATCCAGTTCAGATATCGCCAGTACTACAACTACTGGATTGGCCTGATCTACAAAGTGGACCTCGCGAAGTGGGTCTGGCTGGATGGGACCCCGTTCACACTGGAGCTGTAAGTGTCCCCTTCCTGAGTGATGCAGAATTCACCAAGGCCTCAAGAGGGACAGACAACAGCCACCGGTCAATGCAGTGTGTGCAGCGACATGTGGTGGATCGGCACCACTTTACACCCAGTGCTGTCCCCTCCTGGCTAATCCCAGAGACCGTGACCACAGGGAAAAGAAAGGAACATTGGACTAGTGTGGGGCTGGAGCCACAGCCCCCTCAGGGGGTAGAAAACCCTGGCGTGGGCTACCTGGGCTCCAGGAAGGCAGGGAGCCGGGGCTGCACCCCTGCTACGTCCTTGCCTCACACGGGTGGGTGGTGACTGGGCTGAGATTTGCACATCTGCACTCACTGGCACGTGCTTGTGAGCCAGCATGGCGGGGAATCATCACGGCCGCAGGCCCCTTGAGAGAAGTCTGGGAGGGGACACAACTGACATGTGGAGCAACACAACTGACATGTGGAGATAACTGAATTTCTGTTTCAAGTTTGACAGCGCTTTATTAATTTTGTACTTTTTACTCCCGAAAATTTCATCACCCGCCTGGCTACAATTAAGTTGTTTAAACAAATGTATTGCAATAGTAGACATTTTGTGTGTGTGTCTGAAAACTTTAGGTTCTGGGAGTACTTATAATTTTTTTTAACTGGGGGTACTTCATAAAAAAAAAGTTGAGAAACATTGATCCGGACGGTGCTTGGTCCTGCCATCAAGGCAAGGGACTGGACTTGATGACCTTCCTAGTCTAGTGTTCTATGATTCTATGACTCTATCACCTGTTTCTCCTCCCAGCTGGAACAACCCACTAGACCCCACCTTTCTGGCTAATCACTAGAGTCGAAAGGGTTGACACGGGCGTTAAAAGTGGGATCCAATATCCACGGAACAAACCTGAGAGTTGGTACGGCATTCCGCTCGGCCCACGCTGGAACAAAGAATGGAAATGCTCATAAAACCCAAAGCTGGCGAACAGACGTTAATACAAGCCCTAGAACAGAGCTAGGGACGTCCCACCGGAAACTGAAAGAAAAGGGGCATGAAACCAAAGAAGCATCTTCCCGGTTAGGGAATGTGCTCTGGGCGCTGTCCATGTGTCAGTCTAGCAGACAAAGGCAGAAGAAACTCACAGGCTGGAAGTTGAAATGAGACCAATTTGAATGATGAAGAAGGTGCCCGTTTTTCTCAGGGAATGTTTCTTTTCCAGGTCTTCCGTGAGACCCAAAGTCATCGCCAGAGCAGACATCTGCGTGTTTTTTATACAAGGCAAGTCCTATATTATGGATTGCACTATAAAATACCGCTGCCTCTGCAAGAAGACCAAGTGATAAGGGGACTTCCAACGGAATTGTGTTCTGAATGAGATTCCCTGCACCGACGGCCCCTTTATTCCATGGAAACACACAATTATTTGTAAATACAATTAATAAAAAGTTTCTTAACCTTAAAGTATGTGCGGGGAGTGGGATTGGGTTTACGCGTTTCCCTCTGTTCCTTTCCTTCGACCCTTTTCCTGCTCTGATTTCCAGCTTCCTTCCACTCGGAGCCAGATTCACAAGCAACACGGGTGTTTCAGATTCGAGAAACTCGCTAGGATTTACGATCCTTGGGCTGTGGCCTAGGCTGCCTGCACACTGCAAGGGGAGAGCCAGGTGCCCCAGAAGGAAAACAGCTGACCTGCAATTCATTTGCAAATTCATTCCAATCCAAGTAGACCTGAATAAAGATTTGAATTGGTTAATACACTACAGAGACAACTTCCCCTCTCTTGATATTCACATCTTCCCATCAGCTGCTGTGAATGTGCCACACACCCCTTGACTTAATTAGCCTCAACACTTGAAGGCTACGTCTACACTGGCCTCTTCTTCGGAAAAGGCATGCTAATTTCCAACTTCAGAATAGGGAAATCCGCGGGGGATTTAAATATCCCCTGCGGGATTTAAATAAACATGTCCGCCGCTTTTTTTCCGGCTTGGGGAAAAGCCGGAAAAAAGCGTCTAGAGTGGCGCGATCCTCCGGAATAAAGCCCTTTTCCGGAGGATCTCTTATTCCTACTTTCATGGCCACTTTCAAGTAGGAATAAGAGATATTTAAATCCCCCGCGGATTTCCCTATTCTGAAGTTGGAAATTAGCATGCCTTTTCCGAAGAAGAGGCCAGTGTAGACGTAGCCTTCAAGTGTTGAGGCTAATTAAGTCAAGGGGTGTGTGGCACATTCACAGCAGCTGATGGGAAGATGTGAATATCAAGAGAGGGGAAGTTGTCTCTGTAGTGTATTAACCAATTCAAATCTTTATTCAGGTCTACTTGGATTGGAATGAATTTGCAAATGAATTGCAGGTCAGCTGTTTTCCTTCTGGGGCACCTGGCTCTCCCCTTGCAGTGTGCAGGCAGCCTAGGCCACAGCCCAAGGATCGTAAATCCTAGCGAGTTTCTCGAATCTGAAACACCCGTGTTGCTTGTGAATCTGGCTCCGAGTGGAAGGAAGCTGGAAATCAGAGCAGGAAAAGGGTCGAAGGAAAGGAACAGAGGGAAACGCGTAAACCCAATCCCACTCCCCGCACATACTTTAAGGTTAAGAAACTTTTTATTAATTGTATTTACAAATAATTGTGTGTTTCCATGGAATAAAGGGGCCGTCGGTGCAGGGAATCTCATTCAGAACACAATTCCGTTGGAAGTCCCCTTATCACTTGGTCTTCTTGCAGAGGCAGCGGTATTTTATAGTGCAATCCATAATATAGGACTTGCCTTGTATAAAAAACACGCAGATGTCTGCTCTGGCGATGACTTTGGGTCTCACGGAAGACCTGGAAAAGAAACATTCCCTGAGAAAAACGGGCACCTTCTTCATCATTCAAATTGGTCTCATTTCAACTTCCAGCCTGTGAGTTTCTTCTGCCTTTGTCTGCTAGACTGACACATGGACAGCGCCCAGAGCACATTCCCTAACCGGGAGGATGCTTCTTTGGTTTCATGCCCCTTTTCTTTCAGTTTCCGGTGGGACGTCCCTAGCTCTGTTCTAGGGCTTGTATTAACGTCTGTTCGCCAGCTTTTGGTTTTATGAGCATTTCCATTCTTTGTTCCAGCGTGGGCCGAGCGGAATGCCGTACCAACTCTCAGGTTTGTTCCGTGGATATTGGATCCCACTTTTAACGCCCGTGTCAACCCTTTCGACTCTAGTGATTAGCCAGAAAGGTGGGGTCTAGTGGGTTGTTCCAGCTGGGAGGAGCTCTGTCCACAGTACTGAAGATATGGCATACCATAGTTTGATACTTCCCCTCCTCCTCCTTCCCCTGGCTTCCCCATTCCAGCTCCCTCCTCCCCTCTCCCACCCTCTGTCTTCCCCTCTCCCACCTCCTTTTCCCAGTCTCCCTGAGTTTTGTTCAATAAAGAGAGTTTCTATTTTTGAACACACGTGTCCTTTATTTTGTACATCAGGAAGGGGGGCTAGGGAGGGGTAAGTGGAAGGAGGTGAGGGAGGAATGGGGTATGAGCCCCCGATGGGGGAGTACTGGGGTGGCTCTGCGGGCTTCTCGGGGTGGAAGCTCTCCTCCAGCCCCCCACTTGATCACACAGCCCTCCGATTGACCCTCCTCCTTCCCCTGGATGGCAGCCTGCAGTCAGTGCAGCTGGGCTGATGGCCGAGAGCTGTGATGTGCCGAGTGCGGGCACTCGGGGCATTCCAAGACCGGACTGCTTTGCTGTCCATCGAGGTAGACAAGCAGGGAACCCTGAGAACTGTCTGTCTGGGGTGGGTGTCAAAACGCTAATTTGAACTAATTTTTTAGTCTAGATGCACTAGTTCGAATTAGCTTAGTTCGAATTAACTAATTCAAATTAAGTTAGTTCGAATTAGCTTAGTTCGAATTAACTAATTCAAATTAAGTTAGTTCGAATTAGCTTAGTTCGAATTAACTAATTCAAATTAAGTTAGTTCGAATTAGCTTAGTTCGAATTAACTAATTCAAATTAAGTTAGTTCGAATTAGCTTAGTTCGAATTAACTAATTCAAATTAAGTTAGTTCGAATTAGCGCTGTAGTGTACACATACCCTAACTTCTTTCTTTTGCTGTACTTTTATATATATACCCCTTCCTCTGTCTTTCCACACCAGTTCATCTGATGAAGTGGGTTTTACCCATGAAAGCTTGTGCCCTAATAAACCTGTTTATCTCTAAGGGTCCATCTACACTACAGAGAAGATCAAAGCTGCCATTGTCGATCTTCCAGGGTTCGAATTAGCGGGTCTAGGGAAGACACGCTAATTCGAACTGAGAGAGGCGCTCCCATCGATGCTGGTAGTCGTGCTTCCACAAGAAGTAAAGGAAGTCGCAGGGAGACTGTTCCCTTTGACTTCCTGCAGTGTGGACAGCATTAAAAGTCGAGTTAAGATACTTCGACTTCAGGTACGCAATTAACAGAATTGGAGTTGTGTATCTTAATTCAAACTTATCACGTAGTGTAGAGCTACAGATGTGGTCACCTCATCTCAAAAAAGATCTCTTGACATTGGAAAAGCTTCAGAAAAGGGCAACAAAAATGATTTGGGGTTTGGAACAGGTGCCATATCAAGAGAAATTAAAAGACTTTTTAGTTTAGAAAAAAGACTAAGGGGAGCATATGATAGAGGTATATAAAATCATGACTGGTGTGGAGAAAGTAAATAAGAAAAAGTTATTTACTTGCTCTCATAACACAAAAACTAGGGGTCACCAAATGAAATTGATAGGTAGCAGGTTTAAAATAAACAAAAGGGAGTTTTTCTTCACTCAGCGCACAGTCAACCTGTGGAACTCCTTGCCAGAGGATGTTGTGAAGACCAGGACTTTAACAGGGTTCAAGAAAGAACTAGATAAATTCATGGAGGGTAGGTCCATCAATACTACTTAGCCAAAATGAGTAGAAATGGTGTCCCTAGCCTGCTTGTCAGGGGCTGGAAATGGATGACAGAAGAGGGATCACTTGATGGTTCCCTCCCTCTGAGGCATCTAGGCTAGATGGCCCTTTGGTCTGACCCAGTCTGGCCATTCTTATGTAAGCCACAGGGGGAGGCAGGTAGCACAGACACAGACTGAATGTTGGTTTCCCAGATCCTGCTGTTGATAAGAACCGAGGCAGGGGCTTCCGGTTGTGTGACGGTGCCGACTTTGCCTCATTTACTTGCCCCATTGTTCCAGGACGAGCCTGCCAGCCTGCTGACAACGGGCAGGACCTCGGAGGAGAGGAGCAGAGACATTCGGCTTTGCGTGAGCTCTAGTGAAACACGCCGAGAGGTTTAGAACGCAGCTGCTGCTTTTATTTTCTACGTGACCGTTTGTCTCCAGTGTTTCCATTTGAAGGCTTGTTTTCCCTTAGGAAAACAGGGCTGAGACCCCCAGGTGGGGCTGGGAAGGGCCGTTTTTTCAGGAGCAATAAATCCTGCGTGTGTCCAGAGGATGAGATCTGGGCAGAGCCACTCAGGGGCGGGAGATAAATATTAACGGAGCTTGATCCTGCCTTGAGGGCGGGGGGCTGGACTCGATGACCTCTCGAGGTCCCTTCCAGTCCTATTATTCTATGATTCTATGATTCTCACTTAGATAATTTTCTGTAAATTGTAAAAGTGGAAAATTCATCCATGGGCTCCAGAAATATAGGCTGAGAATCTCTGAACTACAAGGCTATGTCTACACTGGCACCCTTTTCTGGAAATGCTTAAAACGGAAGAGTTTTCCGTTATAAGTATTTCCGGAAAAAGCACATCTACATTGGCAGGATACTTTTCCGGAAAAGCATTTTTTCCGGAAAAGTGTCCGTGGCCAACGTAGACACGCTTTTCCGCAAAAAAGCCCTGATCGTCATTTTAACGATCGGGGCTTTTTTGTGGAAAAGACTACTGTGCTGTCTACACTGGCCCTTTTCCGGAACAGTTTTTCCGGAAAAGGACTTTTGCCCGAACAGGAGCAGCATAGTTTTTCCGAAAAAACACTGACAATTTTACAGTAGATCGTCATTGCTTTTCCGGAAAAGCAAGCGGCCAGTGTAGACAGCTGGCAAGTTATTCCGGAAAAGCGGCTGCTTTTCCGGAATAAGTGGCCCAGTGTAGACACAGCCCAAATGTCAGACTGCGTCTACACTGCAGTGCTATTTTGGGATACCTGAGGTATCCTGAAATAGCTATTCTGCATCTTTTGATCGCGCCGGTTATTTTGAAATATAACGGGCTCACTATTTTGACGTGCCTGTAAATCTCATTCCACAAGAAGTAAGGGATGTTTCAGAATAGCAATTTATTTTGAAATAAGTGCTTTCAAAATTGACTTGAAATAAGCTATACTATTTGCATAGCTTATTTCAAACTATGGGTGCAGTGCAGATGCAACTTCAGAGGGGTAACCGTGTTAGTCTGTAACTGAAAAAACTTAACAATGAATGGTCCTGCAGCACCTTAGAAACTAACAAAAAAATGTAGATGGTATCATGAGCTTTGTGGGCACAACCCACTTCTTCATATGAATGGACTAAGGGGTTCAGGGTACCAATGCATGTACCAAATTACAGTGGTAATTTTTCAGCAAGTCAAAAGAATGCTCTTTTGCTGAATTGTTCAGTCTGAAAGACAAAAGGTATTTTAAATTAATCTACCATATCAGATGTTTCTCCTTGTTCAATTTCTGATAAAGGAATTCTTGTATATGAAAAAAGTTTTGGTTTACCTGGACTTTAGTTATGGCAGAATGTTATAATTTCTTTTGAAGAAAGAGGAGTGTCCAACCCATTGAATTAGGGTACAATTTTCAAACGTATCTAAGAGACTAACGTGCCTAGTGATTTGGGCTTGATTTTAAAGATATTTAAGTATCTAAAGATGGAGAGAAAGGCCAGATGGGATTTTCAAAAATTCCTGGGC